GGGCCAGGGGAAAGACCTGCAATTCTGGGATGGATTTTGGGACTCGTCTTAAGAGATATACCAGTTTCTGTATATCACTTATCGTATTACCCCCGGTCAGACTCGGCACACCTAACATCAGAAATTATTCTTGCTTTTCCAAAGAAATTCTCAGCCGGCCTTAACATTCAAACCCCTCTAAACCCGAAAGCACTACATTAGTGCACACCACTGAATTAAAGTATATACTCTATATACAACCAGGCTAGTAGTATACTACGACCCCAACCCACCCTGCTGCACAATCTCCATCGGCGTCACGCTCCCATGACTAGACGCTGGTATCGACGACGCCGCATTCCTCAGCTGTTCCTCCGTCATCCGTCTGCGCCGCTCCCCCACCTTCCATATCACGTCTTTCAACTCCTGCACCACTTCCCCACCTGGCCCCCACCGCTCAATCTTGGACGCATGCTCATCAGTCTCAACACCAACACCCCCACCTCCACTCTTCCGGTGTGCCCTTGTAAGCTTTATCCGCTCCTCCCTCGTCATCTTCGACCGCTCACGCGTGAACGCCGGCAAGTTCCCCGTCTCAGCTTCAAACACTTGCTCGATGCCAGGTGGAGGCAAATGATGCGATGACGCTGCGAGCAGCAGAGGGGACGACGCATCATCTACATCGAACATCTCTCCGGATGGTGAGATTACCGTAAGCCCAATGTCCTCGTTCTGCGCGTCCATGCCCGGTGATGCTTCATCAGGCTTGTCAGAGTCATCGCTGCCCATGTCGAGAGCCAAGGTGGGTAGGTCATCTGGTTCCTCTGGGGAGGGGCTTGGCGGGAGTACGATGTTCGTGAGCCTCTCCCGGCCGCGCTCACACTCCCGTAAGGCAAGACCAATCTCGCGCCGCAGACGTTCGTAAGCCAGAAGAGCAGGGTGACTAGGAGGCTCCCCAATGGAGGGCGCCAACGACTGTAGAGAATGCCCGAAAGGTGTATCTTCTTTCAGCGAGGTCACACATTGCTCGAGATGGTCTCGTGCATCGTTGAGAGCGGAAGAAATAGCATCGACGTGGGCTGCAAACCGTGTAAGGTCACTGGGCAGTGGCGCAAAGGAGTTGATTTGTGAGATCGAGTGCGAAAGAGGGCGAGCGGGGAGTGGAGGCGATGGTAGTGGAGAGGCGACTTGTAGGTCGGATGACGAGTCTGATGCAGCCACGTCCTCCAATTGTTGTTCCTGTTCCTCCACCTCGTCCAGAACTTCAGTAAGTCTCGAGGAGGCATCGACTAATGTTGTCGTAAGGAGGCCCATGAGTGAACGCACGTCCTCCCAGTAAGCATCATCCTCGTCCCCTTCGAAACGAAGAGCTAATAAATGAGAACATGCGTATCGTTTTGAAGCAAGCGCGCTCTGAAGTGACTGCTTCAAAGAGGAAAAGGAGAGCGGATGCCGGCTTGTTTGCATACTCGTGTATCTCGAGGCAAGGGACATTGTTGAGAGGTGCCTCGAGTCAGAGTTACTCCTCGATAATGATACAGCGGAATTCCGAGGTGGCGTCCCAAATTTGCTCATACCCTGGCTGCGATGCTTTCGGCGTAGATCAAGAGCAGTGGCTCCAAAACAAATATCCTCACCCTCTGGTAGCAATGAAGCCCCGGGGTGAGTGTCGTCCTCTTCAACCGCATCAAGAACTGGTTGTTGAGCTGATGGGCTCGTGGGCGCGCTCACACTACTTCTTCGTGATGGTGACGCAGCACCAAGCAGTGCGCTAAGATCAGATCTCCGCTTTTCTCTCCTCTTTGCAATGTGGGACATAGGACTTCCCGCTTGTGCAAGGGCAGAGTAGGACCCATTCCACGTGGATCTCTTGTGATCGCGGACGGAAGTAAAGTTGTCGTGTTGCCGAGATCCAGGCAGAGAAAGCGGCCGGTGATTATCGTTATTCAGAGAGAACGTGAGTTTCATGGGTGATGGTGGGGCATACATCTCCGAAAGCTGTGCAAGCTCGGATGGAGATACAATAGCTGAAAGTAGTTGACGAACGTTGTCGCATTGAGTTTGGGTCGTGAGTAGGGAAGTTGATAGTGCCACCCTAAGTGACGAAAAAGTCATTATTGGGGAGGATAGTCCGTGAAAGATACTGTAAAGGACCCGGTCAGAGCACGCATTTCGCTGATGTCATATCAATTACCTTCGCTCTTCATTTTCTAGGGTATCAAGGGTATCTTGGACAACGGCATCCCACACCTTGCCCGCTGTGATTAAATTTTGGAGTGCTTCCAGAGACTGCAAAAGGAACGGTAAGTTCATTGCCTATAAATTACAATTGGAAGGCTCACAGGTGTGATGATGTCAGGTTTAGAGTGTAGATCCAATCGATGAACGTGCATATAATACAGTGTGCTAACAAGCAACAAAACAAACAAGGCGTAAAATCGAGCGCTGAGCGCTGCAACAGCAAGAGTAATGAAAAGTGTTACGGGCCATACATGTGGTTCGGGTTCGGCGGGTATTGTTAGGGAAATTTGATCCGTAGCAGTGCTTTCGGCCCCGCTTGTACTTCTGCTGTGATTGCTCGCAAGTCTGCCAGGGATATGGGGTGAAAACGAACGACGGTGTGGATGAGGGACGGGAGTAGTTGCGAAACCCGGAGATAGGAGGGAGGATGTGATGACACCATACTTGAAGCGCTCAGCAAAAGCTTGCGTGCGCTTCGAAATGCGGTCAGAAGTGAAGAGTGAGCTGAGGAACTTCATGGCATCGCAGGTGAGTGAAGAAAGATGGATTGACCGAGGATATAATAATATACGCGAGTTCAGGAACAGTGTTATGACTACGAAGAGTAAACATACCTGAAGCGCGCCGAAAATAACGAAACAAATTTTTTCGACTTGTGCACTGTACTTGAAGACTGCTGGCGACTCCGTGAATGAGTGCTGGAGCATCGAAAAAAGTGGCCAGCTTCCAGGCATTTGCTCGGGAGCTTCACCCGAATCTGCGGCAAAGTAAGGATGAGCAGTGATCTACAAGGATGGTTAGCAACTGCACCTGTCAAATACTCTTCTAATGGATGTCCGTCATAGTAAGGCTGGGCCATGAGCTGAAGTTGAGGCGTTGAGTAACGATCGGTTGGCGATATGAGCACTGGTTTTCGTGATGCGTTCGTGAAGAAAAAACCGGTTATTAGGTGAAAAGAAAGGACAACTCCGATGAACTAGGATAATGGCGTAGGATAGTATGCAATTGCGTCCTTAGCTATAATGCCCAGTCAGTTTGCCTCCGAGGGGACAAGCTAAGAAGCTGTACTGCTATTTGCTTACTTAATCTTCCATTGTGTTACTTACCAAGTTAGCATGTTGCCATGTTGCCACTCCGACTTCTCGAGATCAACCTACATAATGAATACTGGGAAAAGCAGCATGTCCTCCTTGAGTTGTTCATATCACTGAAATTCTATAGCTATCCAACACCTTCTCCTTCGCTTAGTTATACCATCCATGACGACTGCAATCCCTAGCAGCCAGGTGCGGCCCTCAGGCTCATGTTTGCTTGTATGTTCTATGTTCAGATTCTGCTCGTACGGAACCACCTGCCGTTGCAAATAGGACAGGCTCCACCGCTGCGGTTCTCGCCTTCTTCGTGTGTCGTGGCGGAAACACTAGCTTTTCACATGATCGGTGAGCGCTAGCGCTCGAGTGTTAATAGAATCTCTCCAGCGCGGAACCGCACGTCAGGTGCACCCCCAACACGACCATTGGGCTCCGCTAGGCAGATTAGAGCACCAGGTGCACTGCACTCTATCGTGATGACACGAACGTCATTTCTTTCCAAACGAGAAATCGATGATCAACTCCGACCGCACTATGTTAACATTCAGCAGCCCGAACATCACATGAGTTACCGGATCTACATAAATCCCCAGAAGTTCATACCAGATGATAAAATTGGCACTCTCGAGTAGCTGTCCAGAACACGCGGCTGTCCTGAACCAATACTCGTGGAGGCAACGAAGTGTCGTTCAAAACCCTCGATTTGCCGTCGAAGCTAGTTCCTCTTGTGATGATATCCAGAGAAGTATATCTCTAACAACATAATGATCTCAGAAGTCCTGTGTATCGGAATAGCACTCTAGCGTGCGTTCCTCATGCTCGGATGAAAGCGAGCTGGCAGGCGCACGGGGATGATTCTCACTTCCTTTTCCCTCGACGTCGACAAGCCCCATTCGCTCATGATCCCATACTTGAAACACTCAGAAAAACTAACGACGACGACCCTGTTCCAAGGATCTGACATTTCCGAAAACATGTCTTTTTTGTTCTGCCATCCCCTCCTAAATTGCGCACATCGAGTTAAAATTGAGTTCGCGGGCTTAAGTAAGATCCATTCGGTGCCGATTTGAATAACCTTCCGACGGATCTGGGAATGTGTATGGGCAGGAGGCTGTGAGATTGACGTTTTGGGTTGAATGCCAAGCATCGCCCCAGACGCCCTACAAGCTTGTGGGTGTTCTCTGGGATTGGACATCAAATATTGTTTAACCCTGACGAGTTACTGACCTCATACAGGGACCTGCGGCGCATCGCTTACACCAGCATAGCACAGGGGTTTGCGGCCGACGAAATACCCTGTAGGGATCACCACCTTGCAATTTCGGAGAACGCCAGATGCTAGCCCTTCACATATGATCCGGCCAAAGAAGGCCGAGTGCGTTGAAACCCCCCTCTTGAGCACGATGTGAGTGCCTTACATACTACTTGCAGGATAAGCGAATGGCAAAATATTTCACATACAAGGCCAGACATAAATATTTTGAATTCCGACCATCGTCGTACGCTCCATACGGACCATACCAGGCACTTATGACAGAAGCCTAAATCTCAGTGATAGCAACCTCCGATAATCGCCCTGGAAGTTTGGGCTTCGCTAAGAGCCTGGGATTCAATATTCATATTCAACCCTGAAGTCGCTGACGTGTGATGTAACATACAGGGGCTGGTGGAGGCTGGTCCTGTTGTTGTAATGGAGAGTGTATACTGTCAGCCTTTGTCGGCACAGCCGAACTCTGGAGGATGACATTGCTGATGCCGTGGCCTTTAATATTTCCGACCGCGAGGTTCAGCGGGGCACAGATTTTGATCCTTTGCAGGATGATAGCAACATTATAATACTAATGCGTACAATGTATCGTATACATTCGGTCCCGATCAACACTATATGTCTACTTCTTGGGGAATACAAAATAATCGGTACAAACATCTACAATATATGAAACAGCTAATCTGATCTCTTCAGTCCTACTTGTGTATTTCTTTGATAACATGCAATCACTTACATGGTATTCAGTTCACATTTCCTGATTCCACCTAAAGCACTCTGCCACCCTCTGGGTCATCAAGGCCATCTCGACCTTGAGGCGACGAGCAGCATGTTTCCTTCGGGTCATCAAGGCAATCTTGAGGTGACGAGCAGCATTCGTCTAGTTCAAATGCTTCAAGTTGTCGGTCTATCTCACGGCTGAGATCGTGTGTCGCATAGGTACGCGTTGGAAGACTTTTCAGGTTCAGAACCACGCGCTGACCGGCCACTGAAAGCAATGGGCCCGAAAACCTATATGCAATTAATTCACATAAAGTGACGAAGTCAATTTGATTACCAACGCACCCTTTGGGTAGGAAAGTGTATGGAGTCTATGGATTGTCTCCTGTTATTCAGGAAGAAGAAATATGTCGTGAATAAGAAAGACTGACGTTCGCGTACACAGTCCTAAACATAACATGAGCAGATGCAATGAGTTAAGAGTTCGAGCGAGTCTCACCAGGAGGCGACGATCATGCCATTGTTAAACATACTAAACTGGTTATTGTTGTCGGAAATGTGAGATATTATCGTCTTATACACTCACAACAAAAAACATGGTTGCTAATTAGTTAAGGTCAATTATAGATGGGACTCTCCAGATCCACGTGAGCATGCTCACCATCTCGAACAAGTAATCGGAGGAGGCTGGAGGGGTAGAGGCTCTGAAATTCCCTAGAGTATCTCCACAGACTTTGCGCTGTCAAGACAAAAGTTACTGCATCGAGAATAAAGCTTCATCATCTTCAGCACGCCCTGCGAACACGGAACACAGCATGCTAACCTTCCGAGATAACCGAGCCACTAGCGTTGTAATAGGGCCAACGAGATTTCCGTCAATACACCGACTTGAAATTATATAGTTACCAACTAACCATATATTCTTTAAAGTGACAGTCAATTAGTTCACAGACACGGTAAAATCACAATCACACACTTGGCATCGCGGATGCGCAGATCTCGACTAAGTCGAGGTACTGATACTCCTCATCTGCCCGAGCGCAACTACATCAGATAATAAAAAATGGAAAGCAAGGAGGTTCCCTACGAGTATCATGCATTGAACCAAGCGTCGTCATGCCCAGCAGAGCAAGGACGTAGAACACATAGCTCCCGACAATAATTTTTACGATGTTCTTCCGAGTCCCCCAGATGGCCCACGCACGTACGAGCACAAGTACTGAATATCAACTCTTAGTACAAGCAACCATTGAAATGAGGTACACGCACGATGAATCGACTCTGAAGATAGCACCATAAAGTATTTAGTGACGATGGCAAACCTTTGACAGAACTAACCCATCCAAAGGTCAATGAATGTCTACTCGTGAAACTGCAACATACTAATTGGGAATCATGTGCGAGGATGCCAGCCTCTTCGAACCGAATGATAGTCTGCCCAACCAGGTTTCCATATCGGTTGATGAGGAACATGACTTTCACGATTGTCCAAGGGGCATTCCAAATGTACCGGATCTGGAACCAACATTATGTTTTCAATATTATACATGTCAAGCAGCTAACTCACTTCATCAGGAAAGGTGAGAAGGTAATCATAGATTAGCACAGTGTGGCCAGTTGCAGAGAGTGCTCTCAACGAAAATGTGAGAAAAAAGGATATCGCAAGAGACGGCGACTTACTTTCGCACCCAGATGTCGTAAAAGAAGTCGGACGACGGAAACATAAGCAAATGAACACCTAGCAGTATTTTAGCACGGATAATAATGAAGGCTCAGTAATGTCAAGAGACCCAGTGGAGATCCGTTGAGCTATATATACACTTACACTATACAGATGCATGCGAAGTCTCAATGACACGAGCAACGACTCGGAATTCCGAGTCGAACCTGACGTGAGTCTGTATAATGATAGCAGGTGCCTCCGAAATTGTGCTGTCAGTGCCTGGCGAGCCTGCCAGAGGTATCGGTAAACGCTGAGATTTTCGAGACCAGTCACTGCGGTGTTGCCAGGGATGTATGAGTCTTTGCAGCAATTTCTCAGTTAAGTTGTTAGTAGTGTACAGATCGGGGAGAGTCGCCCTGAAGATGTTTACACACCCCGTCAAAAAGTTAAAGGCTAGCAAGCGGTGTCAAGTGCTGTTACTAATCAGATAAGATGGTGTGATACGTTCCCAGTTGATATAGTGCAGGTTCAAGTTGCTAACATGGGATTAGACTGAACACGTTTTCGCCTGCGTAGAGCAGGAAAAACCGTAGTACTTTGAAGACATTGTAAAGCCTTTGAATCAATTTATGATTATCTGATATAGATAAGTCAAAGAGATGCTTAAAGTGGTCCGACGGAAGGCACCGTTGGGGTGCACATGCAGACCCTTGCTGCGGATCGCAGCACACCTTCCTAATGCGTAAAATGATACATATTATATTTGAGCCACCCTGACGGTCCTGACCCACTCAGCAAGCTATCACCATGAATATGATCTACGCTCAATGTAAGTAGTCAAGACTGCCGTCCCTTGGCCTTAACCGTTACGCCAAAAGGCAGTGATAAACAAAGCACGGCTTTGTTTATCGCGGACATATTTATGCTGATTATGGGAACTCAGGTAAGCAACGAGCTTACACTCAGGTTCTTGCGTTCCGGTCACGTGACTCATCATGTACGCACGCATGTTCAAACGTTCATCGGTTCTGTTGGAAACGTCGTGCATTAGTACCCACAAAGGCCCTTCTCTCAGCATATCGTTAATTGTGTTCGAGTCGTGCCTCGATCTGAGACGTTTGACTGGCACCGACACCCTGACTTTTTGGTTAAATATTCCTTCATTATTATACTGTCTGATAAATTTTCCACTACAGATGGCATATTACTGAGCAAAACACAACCGGTAAAGTACAAAGCGTGTCTAAATCCGATGCAGGAGCGCTATCCCGACACCCCCTGCGCGAACCTCACTGGATCCGTAAACATCTGGAGGTAGGAAACCACCAGGGTAGCGGGAATGACGGAAACTGTGCTGGTACAAGGCATCGCAAGGGTGGAGAGAGTCGTAGTCGAAAAAAGAGTGACTTTGCGCTGATTCAGGACCTCCTGATAACGCACCGTGACATGGTAGCGTGGTTGCAGAGGGTCGCAAAATTACCACGGGAAGGATGACGGGGGTCACACCGATGGCCGCATCAGAGAACTCGTGAGGAGTCTCCCCAGGGTGCTTTACGTTGATTGCGGTGGTTTTCCGACGTTATACATGGCTTTATATGACTTTATAACGAAACCTTTTTCTATATATGATCATATCAGCATATATGAGAATATCTGCGGCTCACCAGTCCTCTGATCGGCGCCATCGTCCTGCCAGTGAGGGTCGCAAAGGGCAACACGAGGGCCGTGCCGAACAGCATCACGAGGGTTGTGCACGAATGGGTGATGCCGTTACTCAGCATGGAGCTCGATTATCTGGTGGATCGAACTACTCACAATCTGTCAATGGTGGGACGGGCACGACTGCGAGGGAATCCCAACTTGAAGGCAAAACCTCTATAGCAAGAGGCTATGGTTCTATCTATCGGTGAGGACCGACTACGACGCTGCGCGAGACTACCGACTGCGAGCCGCCGAGCCAGGACTCCTGCTACTGCGCTAGGACCTCCAGACCACCCTGGTGATTACAATGGATCAACTTTTAAAAAAAAAAATCCAATTAGTGTCCTATTGAGAGAGTACTCTATGGAGGACAATACGATCTAGTCTAAGGGCCCCCTGTGCCCTGAGTGCGTCTCCGAATCCGCGAATGCCCTGACCTGGAACGTATCCAGTCAGTCCGCCGTTTCTGCCGGCCGTTTTAAACGCGCGATTCTTTTGATGGTGAGACGGCTTTAGACTCCACTTGTCTGGCGTGGATGTAACTATCATTAAGCATATAGACGCGTACTCGGCCCATGATGGGCATGTACAGGAATCGGTCTGAAGGCAGTGAATATGGTAAGGGAGGCCCTGAGGTTGACTGGGAGGTCCTTCCGGTTCGCTGACTGAATCCAGGGGTGATGGTGATGATTCCGTGTGGACGAGTGGATGAGAGGTGGGAAGTGGGAAGTGGGGAAGGGCGGGGTGATGTTAATGAGGTGCGTGGGGGCTGCGTGCTTGGGTTTCCTTCGTGCGATACTGCTGTTACTGTCTGTCAGAGGGGGTAATAGTCATCTGTCTGTGGGCATGCGAGGGAGCGGCACTTCACCGAATGTGGTTCCCATCCTTCCAGTGGCGTTGACGTAGCGGACAAGGTGAGGTGTGGCAGCCGGGTCAGAGAGTAGGAAAGGCACTGATGTGGCTCTGCGGCCCAGTGCGCATGTCATGAGGTGCCTTTCACGTTGATATTGCGGGCATGTGATCAGGAAGTGGAATACAGATTCTTCTATGTCTCTGCAGTGTGGGCAGCATGGATGCTCGACCCTGCCAATCCGATGGAGATGTTTGTTGAGGGGAGCATGACCGGTACGAAGAGCCATGTAGAGACCCGTGAGCCTTTTGGGGAATTCCGCTGTGAGTTTTACGAATGAGCGTCGTAGGAGCTTGGGATCAAGTTGGTTCATGCGGTTGAATCTAGGGGGGGACTTGCGCCAGAGGCGCTCCCAACGAGAACAATGATTTTGGTCAGGCGTGCGTGTGAGGTCTGACCTAAGTTCATTGGATATATTGCGCGTTTATGGGCAAGTAGTAATAGAATACCAGCGATCTCACATATATTGTTTGTATACTGTCAATATTTTCCCGTGGTATAAAGACTGGTCCGCGACCGTCGGATCACCACTATACAGAAGATTGTATAACTGCAGAAGAATTACAAGGTAGGCTAGCTACCCATTATTCCATCACTAGTACATACATACACCCAGTCGTAGATAGTCAAGGATACACCTGATACAGATACAGAATATAGACAGATATTTAGCAGAGGCATATAGGAAACGCAAAGAAAATTTCGAAACAAATGCGGGCACAAAGACCTATGTTCAATCGACTTCCAAACATCTTGGTACAGAACAACAGCCTATAACAGACGGTTACTAAGTTAACCTTGAAACCATATGTCAAATACTCGCCTACTCCTGTACATCTTCTATCTCTTCTATCTCTTCCACATTATCCAGACCTGGAGAGCCCGCATCAGCAAATGCTTGAAGTTGCCGGTCCACTTCACGGCTGAGATCGCGAGTTGCGTAGGAACGCGTTCGAAGACCTCGAAGGTTCAGGACTAGGCGCTGACCAACCACTGAAAGTAACGGAGTCGCGAACCTACATGCGATATCTTGACTGAATGTGATGGGTCGTATTATAGCTAAACTCACCCTTTACCAAGGAAATATGTTGGATCCTGTAAATAAGTCAGAAAGAACGAGGGTTCGGTATGAATAAGGCACACTGACGTCCCCGAATACAGCCCTAGGTATTATAAGCCGATAGAATGAGTCAAGAGTATGAGCGAGTCTCACCAAGAAATGACGGTCAACGCATTACTACATATACTAGTCTATTCGTGTTGTCAGTAACCAGATAAATCATGCAGGTTTTCTATGCTTACGATGAAAAATATGGTCGCTATACAATCATGGTCAATTGCGGACGAAGCGCTCCACAAAGCACGCTCACCGTCTCGAAAGAGTATGTGAAGGAGAGCAGAGGGGTAGAGTTGCCGGAATTCCCTAGAGTATATCCGAAGACTTCGCATCGTCAAGACGAAGAGGACTATATCGAGGATGAAGCTTGATTGATGGCCTTCAGCAAGCGCGGGCACACAGAATAGAACATCCTAACCTTCCGACATAAATCAACCACTAGCGTTATAATGTCAACGAAACGTCAGTATCTCAAACGCGATGTAAAAGAAACCAACCACATATTCTGTGAAGTAGCAGACTATTAATATGCTGCAAGAATCAGATAACAATCACCTACTAGTCATTTTGGCTGTGCAAACATGAATCACGTCGAGGAATTCAAACTGAACTATCGAAGCGCAACCATTGTTACAAATAAAAACAAAAAGGGGGCAAAGTGACCCACTATTATCGTTGTGTAAATTGAACGCTGAGCCAGCCAACAGCATAATGATGTAGCCCACGTAGCTCCATCCGATGATGTTCGCTACATACTTTCGAGTTCCCCAGATAGCCCATGCACGCACGAGTACGAGGACTGAGGAAAATCAAAACCCTTAAGACGTGCAATGAGTATCAAGCAGATGTACGTACTGTGGATCGACTCGGTGGATACAAACATAAAGCAAGTGGTAAAGATTGCGAAGCGTTGACAGAACTGGCACGAAATCAGTCACTCTATAGATGTCATGTCTACTTGGGATATAGCAACATACCTCTTGAGAATTATGTGCAAGGAGACCAGCCTCTTCTAGCCGGATGGCAGTCTGTCCAATAAGATTTCCATACCGACTCAGAAGAAACAGGATTTTGACAAATGTCCAGGGGGCGTTCCAGATGTAAACGACCTGCAACCAACCAAGGGTATGTATTTCGAACATTAATATTATGCGCATCACCCAATAAACTCACTTCTTCTCTGAAAGTTAGGAGGTAGTCGTAGACTAGCAACGTATGACCTGCTGCGGAGAATGACCTAGACAACATCAGGTGAAAATTCAAAGATGTCGTACGATATATAGACATACCTCCGCACCCAGAGGTCTTCCATGAACTGGGGGGACAAGGGCATGGTCGAAATAGCTACAGCAGTAAGACAACGACGAACGGCTGGTGCAAACAGACCTAGTTTTAAGATCTAAGAGCTGGCACACTTTAATAGGGCCCCAGACAAGACAAGCACAAGCCATTCCGGCTCTCAACCTTCACTGGCATGGGCAACCAACGTAATATCAGTATATAGGGGAGAAGCGAAGTTTGAACCTAACCTGAGAGGGTGGAACAATGGCAGAACCTTGGTAAGCGACAAGACTCATAAAAATCGACAGTGTTCCAGTGTCGGGTAGAACACATATCAGCAGACACTAGCAGTCCCCGCAGCGTAGGCCACAAACGCATACGATTGGAGAGGGTCGCCCTAAAGACAGTATGACAAGCTATGTAGCAATGCGAAGTGTTTGGGAGGAGCATATCATTTACGTCAGCGCTCAAATTGAGTGAAGACATTTTTTCATATGATCTGGGAGGTTCCATTAAAGTGATGTTTGTCAGGCCCAACACGCAATACTTGTGTCCACCAGTGAACGTAGTTGAATTAGAAGGCCAGGCGCTTGCACACTAAACGTCCTACAGACCACGCGTAAGGAAGAGCGGTCCGGAAAGTAATCAAAAATAACAATACAGGTAGCAAAACTGAGAAAAGCTCATGGTGAGCAGTACCATGGTAAGAAATAGGTATCAACGAGAAGAGGCTCGTTAACCGGCGAGTAAAAGCACATTCAAGCATTGAATGATCCTTCACAATGGGTAGGAGGTGGCGCAGGGTAGTCGGACAGCGCGCGAGAGGGTAAAAGTGTGTACGTGACCGGTTTTGGGCGGGACCTGATTATCACATAAACACTGGCAGGCCTGCATGCACAGAGAAATATAAGGGAACTAAAAGGCAACAATAAGACAAAGTAAGTGACAGATGACGCGGTGACAGTACAATTCGAAGACCGTACGTAGAAAGCAGGAACATGAATAAATAGAGTTGGATTCGATTGGGGCGGCGTTTAGATACCATCATAGGCATCGCCTTCTTCGTACACGGTGTATACGGTATCGGGCCGCTGGGCATTGGAGATGTCTCGCCTGCGGGACGCTGGGACCGGCTCAGGTGTAGACGCCGTACTAGCGGCAGCAAAAGGATCGTCAACGTGAGCGGGTGACGGTGCACGAGGCGCAGCATCATGCGTGGGATATGTTTCTTCCGCTGCTTCATCGTCAAAGGGGCTAGGCAATGAAGATTCTGATGGCTGAGGTGGAACCATAGTGGAATGTAGGTCACTGCCCAGCTGGCGGGATATATCGGCATATTGGGCAGCCTGGAACGGAGTTACGCTGGAACGATCGAGATTAACATAGTGAGCCTGGGGATCGTTAGGTATGGGGTATCCTGCAGCAGATGGTTGACGAGATAGGTATGCCGCGCTGGACGGTTGCCTGGTGAGGTGACTATGGTCACCGTGAGGGGCATGCGGCATCGCCATCTGAGGATGTAAGGTATCACTGTAGGTAGCTTGTTGACCATAACCACCGTAATAGTTCTGATAGTTGTGCTGAGCGTTGATGGCGGGGGATGCGTTGTGACGTTCAATCATGGTCGGTGGCCGGGGGTTAAAGGATGGTTCGGGATCATCCACAAGGATGGCAGACTGACGTTTGAAGGCTGAAGCACTCCATTCGTCTTCATCAGACTGGCGTTTGCGGCGCTAAAATTTAAAATGAGAAGACGAAACGGATCTTCAAAAATGAGACATACGATGCACCACATGATGAGGAATCCCAGTATACCCAAACCGACGAGACAGCCAGCGATACCACCTACGACTGCAGTGGTGTTAATGGAGCCTGAAGAGCCAGTAGTCGAAGAAGGGGTCGCGGATGCGATGGTTCCGGTACTAATGACGATATGAGTTGGTGATGCGAGCTGAGAGGTAGTATAAAAAGTGGCTGCTGCTGGAGGTGTCTAATGGATGATCAATAGTCTGTATGGGTGAAAAAAGGTTAGATACTGACCGTGGACAGCGCAATTTGTGGGGCTAAAGGTGAGGAAGTAGACAAAGTAGAAGTGCTCGAGGAGGAGGGGGTGCTTGAAGATATGGTTGATGAAGATGTGGTTGAAGAAGAGGACGTAGTAGGGGTGGTGGAAAGGGAGGATTGTTGGGTAGAAGTAGCTACAGGGGTGGTGGTGGTGGTGGGGGTAAGGGTGGGGGTAGTAATGGTTGGAGCCGAAGTAGGGCTGGGTGCTAGATATTTGTGAGCTCATCTCCATTGAATTGCAAGTACTGTACAAAGTGAGCTCACTGTCAGAATTCTGTGCGGCTGAGGTCTGTGCACTACTAGCAGCAGAAGTCAAGGCAATCCCAGGAAGACTTGGGCTGAGACGAGCAACCAAGTGCATGTGGTTACGCCTTTCCAAATCCTTATTTGCAGACATGGTTACTACTAGTTTTTAGCCGTGTTTTTGTAAAGAATGAAAGTGGAAAAGAGTGAAATGATCCTGCAAGAGGATGCTAACGAAGACGTCCGACGATGAGGAATGAAAACGTTAGTCACACATCATTGTAGTCACATAGTCACATAGTCACACAGGCCATCAATCGCACTAGTGCCCAAGTCGAATACCTGCCAGTGGGTACCCACAAGTTCTTGTGTCAAGTGCACCAGGTGATCAATTTTTTTTAGCAATTAATCAGTTGTGATACGCAGCCTTTCACAGTGGCCACAAAGTCTGTTCAAGCTGGACCCAGCTAGTTGCTACTACTACTAGACTAGGCTCCCAGGCCACTGGGTGCCTGTCTGCCAGCGCTTATTTCCTGATTATGAATGTCGATCTTAGGGAAGTTCATACTGGTAACGAGGTTAGGACACATGGTATTTCCGGTTTCTAACCTGAAGCTTCAACCTTTCTGGTCACCCAGAAGTCCTAATTTCGTTATAAACATCAAGATTCGGCTTTAAGCAATCCTTTTCGCCACACTCCCTGCTATCGCATGTTCATCACATGCCACACTGTCTGTTTCTCTCCTTGTATCTGCTGGGCACCGTGACTCTGGTAGTTTCTGCTCAACAGCAAGTCGTCCTTGGGAGTACCAATCCAGATATTGTCTACGTTCCTCCACTATGCAATGTTTCAAATATAGGATGTCCTAGTGCATGGCAGTGAGCCTTTCATCCCTACCACGAACTGGGTCGTTAACTCGTACAGGCAAATATATATTGAGTGTCCTAGCACTAATGGAACACCGGTAATTGTTACTACTACAACTGGCCCACAATCCGGGAACTTGGTACCCCAGTTGTTTTTGACCTTTAGAGGTGTGTCGCATTTCATTTCATCAATCAACGACTGTGCTCATGCTATGCAGCATCAACGATATATCTGCGCACATCTCCCTTTTCCAACGCGACTGTCAATTTCTCCATAACCGCTGATCCGAGCGGCGTTACAATTACAAATCAGGTCAATACTAACATCGACCAGCTTATCATCGCCGATAACCTGCCCGAGTCACAGACGTCGACATTAGGCATCACATTCCTCCAAGGGCTTTCTCCCACCCGTTTCGACGTCGAGTCGATCACGCTCAACGTCACAAATAGCAGGTAAGCACCCTCTTGTCTTTGTCAGAGAGTTCGCCAAATACCGCGATCGATTCGTATGTGCAATAGTGCGACCTCCTCTTATCTTCCAACACTATCATTACCCACATCCAGTTTTCCTCCGAGCCTTTTGCCCTCCTCAACGAGCACAGTAAATTCGACTACCAGCCAGCGAACAGGCATTATCATCGGTGCGACTGTGGGCGGGGTACTTGGCTCTTTGGCCGTATCGATAGCCAGTTTTTGTGTTTATTGGAGGTGGCGAAGGCGACGGATTTGGCGGTCGGAGGTAGATGTAGGAATATATCCAATGAGACCACGGACGACAAGGACTTGGTGATTGTGATACATCGTATACCTTATATCGGGACTTCGTATTTTGGTATAAACACTGGACACCTTATTTAACATACTGTAATTTATCGTACAATTGAACACAGCAGAGTGCGAAATGAGCTGAAGTGACTTTCGAAAGCTGAGTGTACAGTGAGCGCACGGTTTTGGTCGGACACAGCCGTCGCAGTAATAAGAGACAAGATCAGTGACATACATCTATCCACCACAATCCCAATCATAGACCATAACCACATTTTGTGCACCGTTCCAGAATGGACTCAGAGGCACCGCTCGTCGTCGACAACGGCACGGGTGTAAGTCTTTATTCAAGCTCTTCTTGACGCGCTGGATTATCTCAACCCCACCCGCAGTTCGTCAAAGTAGGCTACGCAGGATCGAACTTCCCAGAGCATGGTGCGTAAGCCCCACCAAAGCACACATATATTCCAAGTTGGCTAATCTGAACATCCAGTATTCCCCTCCGTCGTAGGCCGCCCCATCTTGCGCGCAGAAGAGCGCGTGGGCTCCGCAGTGATCAAAGATATCATGGTGGGCGACGAAGCCGCCGAGAACCGTAATTATCTCCAAGTTACGCAACCCATGGAACACGGTATAGTGCGCAACTGGGAAGACATGAAGCACCTATGGGATTACACTTTCGACGAGAAACTCAAGGTCGACCCGCGTGGCCGTAAAGTGCTACTCACGGAGCCACCTATGAATCCTAAAGTCAACCGGCAGAGGATGGTGCAGGTGATGTTTGAGGAGTATGGCTTCCAGGGGGTGTATGTAGCGATTCAGGCTGTGTTGACGCTGTATGCACAAGGTGAGATCTGTTCTGGGTTGTATGATGGCTGGGTGCTGACTGTTGGTCGAGTGCAGGTTTAACAACAGGCGTAGTCGTCGACTCGGGTGATGGAGTCACGCACATCGTACCTGTATACGACGGATTTGCCCTTCCCCATCTCACCCGACGCTTGGATATCGCAGGTCGAGATGTCACGCGGTACTTGATCAAACTATTGCTCATGCGTGGTTATGCGTTCAATCGCACTGCTGATTTCGAGACTGTACGCGAAATCAAGGAGAAACTTTGCTATGTGAGGTGAATGTTTCGATGGTTTGTATTACTTCATGCGATTGAAATATGGAACTACAGCTACGATCTTGACCTCGACCAGAAATTATCAGAAGAGACGACGGTGCTTGTAGAGAGCTACACGGTATATCAACTCTGTCGTCCATCGCCGTATTGCTGAGGCCCGTTTACTACAGCTCCCCGATGGCCGAACGATCAAAGTGGGCTCAGAGCGCTTCGAAGCTCCAGAATGCATGTTCCAACCACATCTCGTGGACGTCGATCAACCTGGCGTAGCAGGTGGGTGAAACCCTCTCATCTCTCCAGTGACACCCATCTCACAGATTCTCACTCTTCCACCCAGAAATGCTTTTCCAGACCATTCAAAATGCAGCACTTGACACCCGATCGGAACTGTACAAACACATCGTCCTCTCAGGCGGGTCAAGCATGTACCCAGGCCTCCCAAGCCGACTGGAGAAAGAAATGAAACAGCTGTATCTTACGCGTGTGCTGAATGGCGATCCAACACGGTTGAACGTACGTCTTTCGTACTTGTTTTCCCCCTTCACCGTCACTCACATGTTCTACGCCCCTCCCAGAAATTTAAAATCCGTATCGAAGACCCTCCTCGTCGGAAACACATGGTGTTCCTTGGCGGTGCTGTCCTCGCTGATATCATGAAGAACCGTGCAGAATTCTGGATATCAAGAGAAGAGTGGTTTGAGCAGGGTATTCGCTCTTTGGATAAGCTAGGACGTGCAGAGAATTAACCAACGATTATGATAACTTACACGGACAGGTAGTTTTAGGATCAAGCACAGTTCATTGGCCGTTAAGTATTCCAACGGGAAATGAAAAATAACTGCCCCATGGCTGAGTTGGTCACAGCGTCCGACTGTTAAGCGCAATCGGAAGGTCGTGAGTTCGAGCCTCACTGGGGCAGATTGTTTTGTCACTTTTAGTACTGTACGTACAATGAGCTGCAACTGCTCCTCTTTTTCGCCGCAGCTCAAATCATTTTCATTATGAATCATGATGACGTGGTAGAGGAGACGATTACGATGTGAGAGGAATGTCTACAGTAGCGACATACCAGCAAAGCAAACAAGAATCATGAATAAGTTATCTACAGTGATATTCGTAACTAGGGATAACATGTAACAACTCTTTTTGCTGCAAGTCTACTACAAGTTATAAACAAACCAGGCACTTTTATCGCCTAGGCCTTTGGGTTCTTCCTCAGGAGTGCTAAACTGCCGCCTGTCGGCCTTTAAGCGGTTCTGGTGCCAAAAGTACCCGAGGGTGGTGAAAGAGAGTATTACCATGCCCACTGACATGATAATGAAGGTGACCGTAGCTTTTGTATAGTTGGGTGCAGGAGACAAGGAGCCTAAAAGCCAGGTGGCCAGGATACCACCGGAGTTGGTCATGATGAATGCAATAGCGACAGAAGTTGCCCGTCTGACGTGTGGTGCACTGTTGTTCGCTACCCATGTGATGACCGGCGGAGCGCCGCAGTACGACCCGCTGATAGTCAGGAAGAGTGATCCATAACGTACATGATGTGATTTGCTCGCTGGCAATCATCAGATGATTTGTCAAGACAGGCGCTGGCAAACCTACCATAGAACATGATGAATCCGACGAGGTTACAAATCGAGAAGAAGATAAGCATGAAGCCACGGCATTTGTACCGATCCGATATCACTGCAGTGATCATCGAGACTGAAAGCGTCATAGTTGGCGTCTCGTTCGCTGACTGAAAGTATGAACTCACCCACAAACGCAACCGCAAAGGGCGGTGCGCTCATCAGCTGTGCTTTATTACCGGTGTAACCCAGACCAGCGACGATCGTGGGCTCAAAGCTAGGGCCAACAGGTATTAATATGAACAAACTTGTGAGTGCCATGCACCTACTACGCGAGGCCATACAATGTTGTACCTGAAGCGAAGTTCACTTGAGTACACCTATCTCCAGCAAGGCACACTTACCGAGGAAAAACAGAACGGGCGCCAACAGCCAGACATGAATTGACTGGCAGCACCGAATCACCTCAATCCAACTGAAGCCATCGCTCTTGTCGTCATCAGCAACGGCACCATCCGCCTTCAGTTTAGCCATGACATAGTTGCGTTCCTTCGTAGATAAGAAGCGCGCCGTACACGGGGAGTTGGGAAGGTACAAGAAGGCTGTCAATCCAAACAAAGACGTAAAGATTCCCTCCTATTTGAGATGATGAGCTGCATTGAAGGTAATGAGGATGGGAAGCCACTGACAAGAATGAAGATCCAAGCCCATCCAGGTCTCCCACCCTTCCCATTAAGATTCATAATAGCAGCTGCCAGCAGACCAGAGAATGCGCCAGAGAGCGACGCAGATGCGAAGAACGTAGCAACCCTGGCAGGACACAAATCAAATATGCCCGAGAATACGAGGGAGCCGTATAACAAACCTGATCTGCAATCTCTCTCTTGGATAGAAGAACGACATATAAAGCACAAGGCCAGGAAACAGACCACCTGATGTGAGAATTGAAAAGGTCTGGCAACGTGTCGCAGGGAATGATGTGCAAATCCCATACCTTCCATGAGACCCAAGAAGAATCGACAAGCCAGCAGACCCGAGTAAGTCTTCACAACGCCTGTGATATTCGGTGGATTGGCTACTGCAACTGCACATTACAATACTACGACAACCGAACTGACCTTGCATGGTTGCCACAATGCCCCATATGGTGACCATGGTTGGCAGCATCCACCGTGGTCCCACATACTGTTCTGGTGTTACCGTCGATCACCCATGAGAACCATAAGATAACACTTGCCTTCAACAGCAAGTTCGAAGGAAACTCTGCTGCAATGTACGGGCTAGAAAGTGCGCTACGTCAGAGGACGCCAACTTGGTGAAATTGCGTGCCTACACATATGTCATGGTCAGAGCAATACTGTACTGAAAAAAAGATAGGTATCAGAACATAATACACCCTATGAGACAGCAGAGTTTTACCTGGTGATTGGTCATCTTGAGACTAGTCTGCATGCCAGCAACCCGAGCATTTGCGATATTACTCCGGTCCTGTTTGTTGATCCTGTTTGGTGTGGCTTCATAAATGATACTAGACATCACTCACAAGGAAAGAGAGGAGATAAAACATAGTGCAGACGGGCAGCACCCATATATCTAACTTCCTCCAGACAGTCCCTTCAAGACGAGCTTTCTCTGCATCTGAGATCTCTTCGAAACGGTCGACGTCCTTTATCGTGTCTGACGAGGGGGAGCCGTGCAGAGTCTTTTCCATCCTGTGGACGTCGTCAGAAACAACCCGGTAACTAAGAAAGATGCAATGTTGAGTGATAAGAACAGCCGAATTTGGAGCCTATTATCATGATGAAGGCATATATATATATGATGTGTGTGTACCCACCTGATGCAAGGGTGAAAAAACGCATTTTAGAATTATTCCAATATGTCAACTAGTGCTGATAGCGCCGATTGATTGATCAATGCATCAAGCCTGCAGGGACCAACTTGAAGGAGATTCATTCACGCCGAGTAACAAGTGATGCCATCTCGGCACGGATAAATGATTGTAAGTGTCCTAATGCAGGATTCAGCTTGTATTTTGTATATAGCGGCGAGTATTAGCCTGTACTAGCTTGTGAGTACTGAACGTAACATTTAAACAATTGCAAAGTGCCACGTGCAAAATGGTGCAGCATGCGACGTGGGTATAAAGCTTTCACCATGTTCACTTACTAGTGGGAATACCTTAGACACGTTCTCAGTGACAAAGTCTGACAAGAAGAAACTCAAGGTCGTGCATCAAAGTGAAACAGAGGGGCTAATTTTGCAAACAGATCTGCCAAAGTCACATGTTGTTTTAACAAGCCTCGCACGAAAACTCTGCCTATTATTGACTTGTAAATAAGGTATACACATCGAGCTGCAGCGAGCCAGTGAGTTGGCCAAAAGCTCATGTCTAACAAGCACCCAATATAGGCACTCCCGTCTATGCATGCAAGAGTTGTTATACATA